CCCTGCCCAGGTGCCCTCACATTTTGAGCACTCACTGATCACTCCGGGGTGATTCTGGGGGAGAAGGGGATTCCCCCCCCCCCCCCCCCCCCGGCATGGGCACGTGCAACCTTTCCCTTGAAGCCCCTGTCTGCTGGGACTCTCCACCTGGCCTGTCCCCGTGCAGGTGGCGGTGGAGATTCAGGAGGGTGAGTCAGTCATCACCTGGGACTTCGACATTCTGCGAGGGGACGTGGTGTTCAGCCTGTACCACGCCAAGCAGGCGCCGGGGACCAGGGCCGCCGGGCAGCTGATAGACAAAGCCTGGGTCCTAGGCATGGATTACAGCCGCGTGGAGGCGCCCCTTGTCTGCCGGGAAGGGGAGAGCATCCAGGTGTGTGCTCTGCTCCTTCACTACTTCATCCCCTGCCCCCCCTCCCCCCGCTGGTGTCTGGGGACAGTGGGGGACAAACGCAGCCCCAGGGGCTCCGTGGGACACAGGAGGACAAAGACACACAGGAGGGTTTGGTGGCACTGAGGAAGGGAGGGGAGGCTCAGTCCCAGCCCTGTGTTCCAGGGCTCACACGTGACGCGGTGGCGCGGCGTGTACCTGCTCCAGTGGCAGATGCACGGCGCCCCCAGCGGCGTGGCCTGCAGCCTGCCCGGCGTGGACGACGTGCTGGCCGCACTGCACAGCCCCGGGCCCAAGTGTAAACTGCTCTACTACTGGGAGGTGCTGGCCTCCAAGGACTTCAGGTAGGCCCCCACCCCCACCCCGCAAGCCCCCAGGGCCTCGCTAACTCCTGCCATGGTGAATTGACTGGACCCGCCGGCCGGGGGGAAGGGGAGGATTTGGACCTAGAATCTCACAGGGTGTGTAGCTCTTCTAGAACAGTCTCCCAAGAATGGTGGCTTAGCAGGGACAGGATCCCGGGTTTCAGCTCTTAGGATCTCCACCTTCCCGCCCGAAAAAGAGAGTGTTCTGAGACAGTGCCTACAGGTTGCATTCGGAGAAACAGGTGTCTGAGACCTCCAGCACTTCCGGGTGTGACCTTGGGCAAAGCCTCAGGCACCCCAGGAGCTAAATGGGACCCCCCCCCCCAGTTCTCCCTTTGCATTAAGAGGCTATCATGAGGGTAGAGTGGAGGAAGGGGCTGCCTGTCACCTGCCTGTCACCCCTGCGTCCTCGCCCCGGTGTACCCAGTTAGGTGGAGGGACCGGAAGAGGCCCAGCAATGTTTTCAAGGCCTTCCACTTCGTTTACTTAGTTTTTGTTGTTGCTGTTTTTTAAAAAGAGGTTAGCAATGTAGCATCATCTGGCCTTGAACTCCTCACCTTTCTACCTCACCCTGCTGAATCCTGCTGGGATGATAGGCAGGAGCCACCATGCCTGGTCTGGGAGCCAGGTTTGAGTGCAGAGATGGAGGGGAAGGCTGGGGTTGGGCCTCTGGGGCCTCGGGGAGGGCTGCCCGAGGGGACCGGAGGGCTGGGCTCCGTCCTGGGGGACACAGCGCTTGGCGTCACTGGCTTCTCCCTGGGGCGGTTAGCAGCCTGTGCAGCTGCCCCGGGGCCTTGTTTGTGGTGTGGATGGGGCACTGGCAGGAGGAGGTAAGTTTGTGGTGCCCTGCTCCCCAGGGGCTCCATGTCCAGCCTGGAATCCTGCAGCAGCCGCTTCTCCCAGCTCAGCGCCGCCACCTCCTCCTCCAGCCGCTCCCACAGCAGCTCCCTGCTCTCCAGATAGGCAGGTGGCAGCCCCGGGCCTGGACCTTCACAGAGAGGACCATCGTGGGAGCCCGTGGGCCCGAGCCCCGCAAGGTTGAGGCTCTACACACAACCCTGTGTTTTGACTAAGTGGCCTCGTGCATCCTTCCAGGGGTGGCCCCGGGGCTCAGCTCCCACCCTGTGTTCCACCTTCTGGGTGAATTTCCTCCTCAGGCTGGCCTTGCTCACCCCCAAGGGAACCCTTCATCCTCGGAGACCCCCTCTGTGATGACAGCCCCCCTCTTCCGCAGTTGCAGAACAAAACCTCTGTCCCCAAAGTTCCAATCCACCGGCCAGCATCTCCTCCTGGCCTGTTCCCCGCCTCACGCCTGGGCCAACTGGCTGCCAGGGACGGTACAACAGTGGCCTCGCCCCAACCAGGGTCACGTGTCTAGACTGGACCAATCACTGTGACTCGGGGTGGATGCAATGCAGTTTTCTCAGGGGAGCAGCCCACCCACAACTGGAAACCCAATGTTCAGTGTCTGGCTGGGAGACCCCAATGCTCACCACTGGACTTGACGAGGCTGGGGACAGCCAGGGCTCCTGCCCACCTCTGGGCAGCAGTGGGGTGACTGCGGCGGTTCCTCTAACCCTTTATAGGCCTCTTTCCCTCCCAGAGAACTGCTGATTGTAAGCTACAAGGGGGGCATCCTCGGGGCGCCTGCCTCAGCGGTCCCGGAGGGCTTGCTTCAGGGGAGTGATAGATGGCTACTGCTGCACCATGCTGTGCCTCAGTTTTCTCATCTGTAAAACGGGGCCTGTAGTACAAAGTCCTCTGCTCACGGGGCATGCTCAATGTCTGCCGTATGTGCGTCCATCCGTCCAAAGACACCAGGCCCTTCTTCCTCAGGACATGGCGGCCCCCAGAGAAAGGTGAGGTCAGGAGACTGGACCCCTCTCCCTTCCAGAGCTTCTGTGTGTTCTGGACAGATCCTGTCCTTTGATACCCAGGGAGGAGGGGCGTTTGACATGATGGTTGCTGTCATTTTCCTCCTTTCCGCTCTGCCCTGCCCCGCCCCTTTGTGAAAGAAGGCTTTTCTACTTCTCAACAAAGTCTGTGTGCGCGGATCCTTTGCTCCATCCAACCAGAGGCATTAAACACTCTAGATGCAGATTGTCTTCTCTTCCTGAGCTTGTTTGAGAATGTCTCTGCGGTTGTTTCTGAGGCTCTATAACATTCTCAGGCGGGTTTGCCCTGGAGGAGTGGCAAATTGGGGTGTATTGGGGGAAGCAGGCATCATATATATATATATATATATTTATATATATAATATATATATTTTATGTCTGAAGCTCAGGTATACAGTATTTGTTTTGTGGGTGTGCAGTTACAAATAACCAATGGGGTTCAAGTGACAGGAATGATTTCTCCCCAGCTCTGGAGGCTGGGGGGTCACATCAAGGGTTCTGCAGGGCTGTGTTCCCAGAGGAGGCTCATGGCCTCCTCCAGCCTCCGGTGGCTCCCAGCAGGCGTTGGCTTGGGGCCCCATCACCCCACAGTCTCCGGCCTCTGTCTTCACAGGACCTCCCCTGTACATCCCCTCTTCTTTTACGGTCTATGTAGCCCAGGCTGACCTTGAATTCCAGACCCTCCTGCCTCAGTCTCCTGAGTGCTAGGATTACAGCTGGGCACTACCACACCCAGCCTAGGTCTCCTTTTCTAAAGGACATCGGTCATTGGGTTCAGGGCCCATTGTTTTGTGATCTATGGCTAAGGATGTCTGTGGGGACATTTGCCACCACACAGGCCCCATGCTGAGGTCCTGGAGGACGTGCATCTTGTGGATGCACAGGTGCATCTTGGATCCCACCTGCTAGGATTCAGGAACCCGAGGGAAGCAAGGGCCCTCCTTAGGCACGCTCTTTCCTGGGCTGCTCACTCTGCCCAGCTCTCTGTGGTTCAGGCCAGCCACAGCCCTGGTACCACAGGGTATGAGGGCCTGTCCAAGACGGCGCCTGTCTTTTGGTGGTCTGGAGCCGGGCACAGGACGGGAGCACTGGCTGTCCTCCCACTCGCTCTGACTCCATAGGTTTCCCTTGGGTCACGGTGGCAGGTCAAGGCTCAGCCAGTGGCTCCGTGGGTGCCCTGAGTGTGGAGAGAACAGTGCCTGGAGCTGGCCTGCAGGGCCTGGCTGACGTCTGATCCACCTTGCTGTTCCCGAGGCCTCACGGGCCAAGCCCAAGCAGAGCGAGGTGGGAAGAGGGGGGACTCAGGTGTGCCCTCAGGATCCTAGGACAGTCTTGGCCAAGCTGCCACCCTGGGGGCTGGTGGGACCAGACTCCCCAGGGAGGCTCTGAGACCCTCCCTATCTCGCGTCTCCCATCTTCTCTGCACCCAGCCCCCCAAGGCAGCTCCGAGGAGGCAGTTTGAAACCCAGTCGGTTCTCTGGGGAAGAATTTTCTGAAACAGACTCCTTTGAGAACCTGACAGAGGTTGTGAACACACTTGATGCCTGAATGGCTGCCCTGGTCCCCAGAACGTTTCAGAGGTCTCCCGAAGCTCGTTCTAAGAGGGCGGCTGGGGTGACCCCAGTGACTCATGAGTTCCTTACTTTCTGGGCTGTCCGAGATGCCAAAACTGAACACAAATGGCTTCAAACAAAAATAAAGATTTATTGGCTTCAGGTACAGCTGGATCCAGGGGCTGGGACGTGTCGCCCCTCTCCCTCTGTGGCTCTTGTGCGCAGCAGCTGGCCTCTCCCTCTGGTCAAGTATTCACCACATGGAAGAGCTTCTCTCCTCTCCTCTGTGTGGCTCAGGCCTGGACGTCGGGCCGTCCCAGCACAAGGTTCAAGATGGGCTTTGGCTGCCGGCCTGGGGCAGATGCTTATCTCTGAATCGGTCCCTGAAGGCCCTCTGGACTTGGGCCAGTACCTTCCGGACCGGGAGGTAAGTGGCCTGGGCACCCTCCCATAATGCTGGCATTTCAGGCATGACTACCACGCCCGGCCTCACCACTGGTCGCCTGTGGTGGCTGAGCCCCTGTGGAGGGGACGTGGGCAGCAGCCACAACCAGCCATGCACAGGCACTGGCTGCCCGCGCCCAGCTCACCCCGTCTCGCGTGGTACAGGAGGGATGGCACTGAGTGGTGGTGGCCTGATGCTCAGCACACACCCGGCACGGGCTGCCCTCCCTCCCCGTCCCCGGCTTCCTGGGGCCACCTCCCAAACGCACCATGTGCTTGGAGTGGGCTCTGGGAGGCCCAGCTGATGACTGCCTGTAATCCCAGCGCCTGGGAGGCTAAGGCAGGAGGATCCGGAGGTTGAAGCCAGACTGGTGAGATCTTGCCAGAACAAATAAATACCAAGAAGAGGGAGCAGCAGGTGCTGGGCAGGCAAAGACAGCAGAGAACCGCGGTGCCGATGTCCAGTCCCTGCCAGCACAGCAGAGGACAGGGACGTGGGGAAGGCTCGGGGGCGGCGTGGGCACAGCAGGTCTGAGAGCACAGGTGAGCTGGTCACCTGCCAAAGCCTGGCGTCCTCCCAGCCAGGCCTCACCGACGCCCCCTGGTGGCTCCTTCAGTGCAGCTCTAGGCAGAGGGCTGCGGACCACGGAATCCACCTGTAAACACGACCCCAGCTCTTCCCATGCCTTCTTCTAGGAGCTTGTGACGAGACACCAGGTCCTGGCCAGCAAGCCCACAGTGAGCAATGTGGACAGGTGTTCTGACCTGGCCTGGTCACTGATGGCCTCTGGGGATTCTTTGGCAATGGCGCAGGCCCTCCTGGGGCCAGGCCCTGGGCAGCTCAGGCGGTCAGGCACGAAGCAGGCGTGGTCTCAGGCTCTGCATTGCTGGGGTCAGGTGAGGGGCCGAGGCTGCCCGGCGTCTCGCCAGGCAGGCGGGGCCGTCAGTCCTTGAAGGGGTCGTGGCTGTCGCCAGGCTGCTCCTTCTCGGGTGCCAGGGACTCCCCGCCCACCTCCTGCAGCGGGTGGTACACGTAGTCCCCGTCCACGTGCCGGGTCCTCTTGGATCTGGAGCCCAGGAGCAGGGACACGTTGGCCGACACGCTGACCAGCAGCAGGAAAACCAGGCCCAGGGTGAGGGCTAGCCACGTGGTCCTGGGGCAGAAGACAGAGTGGATGGAGGCTGCTGGGAGCTTGGCCCCGCGCCTGTCCTGTGCTGGGGATGGGGTCTCGTGCCATACCCCATGGGCGGGGGCTGGGCCCCCACGGGAACACCTACCTGCTGAAGAACGAGAGCTCTGCTGCCTGCGGGGTGGCCTCGGAGGGCTGGAGACACTGCTTCACTGTAATGAGCAGAGAGCCGCTGCAGGCCTGGCGGGGGAGGGGGAGGGGAGAGGAGGAGGGGGGCTGCCCATCCCCGGCCCAGGGGATCTACCTTGGGAAGTGCTGCAGTTGCCAGTCTGGGGATCGCAGGGGCACTGGTGCTCACACTGGCAAGGCCTCTGGCAGCCAGGCCCGTACCAGCCCAGGGGACACTCTGCAGACAGGAGGAGGCAGGTCAGGGGTAGAGGCCTGGCCTTTGGGTGTGGGTGAACTGCGTCCCTGAAGGAGACCTTGCGGGAAACCGTGTCTCTGCAGGTGCCACAGGGCTAAGGATCTGGAGGTGCCACCCGAGATTTCAGGCAGGGCCCAGAGGGGGTGTCCCCCTGCTCCTCAGGAGACAGGGTGGCACAAGCAGAGGCTTGGGGAGGTTGAGCAGGGACAGCAGACACTCGCCACTCAGGGCTGGCAGGGCCAGGGACCCCAGGAGCCACTTCAAAGGGTCAGGGAGGACCCTGGGGACCCCTGCTGCTGTCTGGCTGCCCACATCCACGCGTGCGATTTGTCACTGGGGCACTGGAAACCTGGATGGAACTCAGATTCCCCCTGAACCAGCAGGCAGACGGGGGCGCGAGGCTGGGGTTGGGGTGCGTGGCTCTCACCTTCGCTGCAGCTGGGCCCAGTCCAGCCTGCGTCACAGCGGCAGCCGGCTGCCAAGACAAGAGCAGGGGGCTGGGTAAGAGGCCGGGCGGGGCTGGGTGGGGTGGGTGGGACACCAGACCCCCACTCACTGTCGGTGCACAGCCCGTGCCCGCTGCAGTTGGAGGGGCCACAGTCCAGCTCGCTGCAGGCTGCACCGCGCCAGAACTTCCCGGTGCACTGGCAGTGGCCGTCCACGCAGGTCCCGTGGCCGCTGCAGTCGGGCGGCTGGCAGCGGGGCTCATGCACGCAGACCACGGTGGACACGCGGCGGGGACAGCGCCACCTGCTGTCCTGGCTGCTGGGGGGAAGGGTGTAAGGAGGCAGTGACGCTGCCCCTTCTGCGCTCTCCTCCCCCCTCCCCCGCCATCTCTCCACCACAGGGCCTTGTCCAATATGGATAGCGCCCTCTACCCCCTCCCCAGCCAGCCTGTCCTTCCCCACAAATGTCTTTCCTGACAGACTGGCCCTGCCTGCGAGGGGAGGGGGCTAGTCCTGGTGACCGCTGGCTCAGGCCTTAGTGCTTGGTGTGTTTGACTGAGACAGGGTCTAACTGTATAACCCAGGCAGTCCTCACAATTGCCATGCAGGCCTTGGTGATTCACGCTTCTAATCCTAGTACTCAGGAGGCTGAGATCTGGAGGATCACAGTTTGAAGATAGCCTGGTAAGCAAAGTCCAAGAGACCTATGTGCAATTAGCCAGCAAAAAGCTGGGCTGGAGGTGTGGTTCAAGTAGCAAGAGTACCAGCCCAGCAAGGAAGCTGAATAAGAGCAAGCATGAGATCCTCAGTTCAAGCCCTAGTACCAGCTTTAAAAAAAATGCTATGTAGCTCAGAGCGTCCTTAAACACACAATCCTCTTGCCTTAGTCTCTCAAACTGCTGGGATTACAGGTATGTACCACCACACCAGGCTTTTGTGTTCACTGTTAAACCCCCGGGGCTGAGGTGGGCTGACGGTTGCTTACCAGTGATCTGACGGGTAGCTGGCCAGGGTCCCATTGAGCACGAAGGTGGCGGAGCCACCGCCATCCAGGTTGATGGCGTTGACCACGTCCTGCTGCAGCAGGAACTCGGCCACCTCCCACAGGCTGAGGCCACGCTGCTCCGTCTGTCCATCCACGTGAAAGAGCACCAGCTGTCCCTGGCGGTCGTGGCCTATGGCTGTCCTGGCCGACATCACATTCACAAATTTGCTAAAGGAACCTGTAAGAGAAGCAGTCAGCTGATCACCAGCTCTCCCGCCTGGAACCTCTTGCCAAGGACCAACTGTCCACCTCCAGGCTCAGGGCACCCTGAGCACACACCACCCTTGCTGGGTCCCTGAGCAGAACAGCTAACAGCTTCCACCGGGATTTCTTTGTTTGGTTTTGGTGCTGGAATCCAGGATCTCATGAATATGAGAGGAATTCCACTTGGGCCGTGTCTCACAGCCATTTTGTTTTTGAGACAGAGTCTTGCCAACTTTACCTGGGCTGGTTAGAACTTAAGATCTTCCTGGTCTGGGAAGGTGGCTTAGTGGTAGAGTGCTTGCCTAGCATGCAGAAGCCCTGGCTTTGATTCCACACTAGCACATGCACACAGAAAAAGCCAAAAGTGGCACTGTGGCTCAAGTGGTAGAGTGCCAGCCTTGAGCAAAAGAAGCTCAGGGACAGTGCCCAGGCTCTGAGTTCAAGCCCTAGGACTGGCAAGAAAAAAAAAAAAAAAAAAGATCTTCCTGCTTCCATCTCCCGAGTGGCTGGAATTACAAGTAGGTGCTGCCATGCCCAGCTTCAAAGTTTTTCTTCCTTTGCGTTTATGACTTTATTTTTTCCAGCTTATTATATAACCATTTCCTTTGTTATGCATTCCATACAAGACTGCCTAGATCTCCTCGGCTACCAGGAGTGCTAAGTACAACTTGGTTGCTCCCAGAGGCTTATGGGAAGGCTTAAGAACAGCCCACCCCACATTGCTCCTGGTTCTCTATTTCTTTTTTTGGTAATACTGGGTTTGAACTCAGGGCCTTGTGCTTGCTAGACAGGTACTCCAGCACTTGAATCATGCCCCCAGCCCTTTTTAAGTCTTCAGTTGTTTTTGAGCTAGGGTGTCCAGTTTATGCTTAGAACGGCCCAGACCAATGCTACTTATGCTTCCTGGATAGCTGGGATGGCATCTGGTCGAGATGGAGTCTCAGTGAACTTTTTGCCTGGGCTGGCCTGAAACTGACAATCTTCCTGATGGCTACCTCCCAAGCAGCTAAGGCTATAGGTGTGTGCCACAGCGCCCAGCTGTCGTACGGCGGCGACGGCCTCTCCTCGCACCTGTCTCCTGTGTCTCGTCGCACTCGGCGGCCTGGCTCTCGTTGATGTAGATGCTTCCATTTCGAATCAGCCACACGACCCCGCTGAGCAGCTGCTCGAATGGATTGTTGGTGTCTAGTGCCTCCTCTTCAGACAGGTACCTGCACCCAGGGAGGGCGGGAGGCTCACTCAAGGGCAGTAGAGCAGGTGCAGGGGGAAGGTGAGCTTCCTCTTACCCCTTACCAGGCTTCCTGTTCCTCCCCTTACCCCAGGAATATGCCTGGCCAGGGTGCAACTGTGGCTTCCTGCAGTCCTTTGCTGTCTCCCCATTGTTGGGGCCCAAAAGGCTGAAGCCAGGCAGGGGCTCCGCAGTACCCCCCCCCACCCCCGGCTCCTCACCCCCTCTGCAAACCCTCTACCACACTTCATTAAAAACCCCACCAGATCTCAAATCCATGTGTGACCCTCAATTTCTGGCAAAATGATCCTGTTACAGTCCCTCCACCCTCCCTGTCCACTTCTCCAACCTAGCATCTCTCCTCACCCCAGGCATGAGCCAGGTGGTAAGCAGTCATCCCTGTCACCTTCAGATAACAGGTTTCATTTGTTTGTTTATTTTTAGGTCCTAGACTGGGCCTCAAACTCCTCAGCTCACTGGCAGGCACTGTACCAACAGAGTCATGCCTCCAATCCCTATAACTGTTTCTTCTGTGGCTCCTCTCCCTATCCCCCTAAGTCTTCTTGATCTCTGTGTGTGTGTGTGTGTGTGTGTGTGTGTGTGTGTGTTACTGGGGCTTGAAGTCAAGGCATGGGGTCCTTCAGCTTTTGCACACCAGGCTGGCACTCTACCACTAGAGCCACAGTTCAGTTTCTAGACTTTTAGTGGCTCAATAGAGATAAGAGTCCCATGGACTTTTCTGCCTGGGTTGGCTTCAAATCTTGATCCTCAGATCTCAGTTTCCTGTGCAGCTAGGATCACAGGTGTGAGCCACTGCTTGGGGCCTTGCTGCATCTGTGAGCCTTCGCCTGTTAGCTGTTCCTTTTGCCCCAAATTCTGTTCCTCCACTTCGCCCCTGGGTCGTAACTCTTCAGAGGTCAACTCACCGGTCACTTTCTCAGATCCCATTACAGCCAGCCCTGGCTCACTCCTGTGCACCCTGACAACCTCCACCGTCTGAACTGATCACTGTCTCCTGACTTTTCCTACTCCCGGGGCCGGTCCCTTCACGGAGGGCGCTCCCCGGGGCTCCGCACACCGCCTGGCACCCCGCAGGCGTCCCGGTGGAGCGCACACCGCCAGGAGGCGAGGTGACCGGTGGCCTCCACCCGGACGGCACAGCTGCCACCCCATCTCCGGTCTCCGGGCGGGAAGGAGGGGAGGGGGGCGCGGCGCTCCCGGCGTCCTCACCCGGTGACCAGGGTCCCGTCGCGGCGGATCCCGAACTGCGCGTTCTGCAGCCCCCCGGAGCTGCTGGCGCGCCGCCCGTCGCTCACCACGTTCCCCAGGCACTCGCCCGAAGCCAGGCGGAAGAAGCCGCCGTTCTGGGCCACCCGGCAGCCGGCCGCCCGCGCCGTCTCCTCCACGGTGGCGCGCCGCCGCTGCGCGCAGCCCCCGGGCCCGCCGGGCTCCAGCACGGACACGGCGCGCCGGGGCGCGGGCACCCGCGTCAGGTGTCCGGCCACCGCGCGGCCCCCGAAGTGCGACACGAAGGCGCGCACGGCGGCGCCGGGGGCGGCGGGGGCCGCGGGGGCCGGCGCCCAGCTCTCGTGCGCGCGGGGGCCGGCGCGCACCCGTGCGCAGTCCCGGGGCGGGCGCGCGCGCGCGCGGGGGTAGGGCGACAGCAGGTCGTCGTCGCGGGAGGCCCTGCGGGGACGGGGCGCGCGTGAGCTCGAGGGGGGGACACAGGAGGAGGGGGGACCCGGGCCCGCCCCCCCCCGCCGCGGGCGCCACTCACCCCGAGCCCACGCCGCCCCACGCCGCCCGGACCAGGCCCAGCAGCACGAGCAGGAAGCGAAGCCCGCGACTCGTGGGGGCCGCCATGTTGGGACCCCGGCTCCGATCACGTGGGCCCGGCCCACGTGACTGACCGAGCGGCTCCGCGGGGGGCCGCTTCCGGAGGGCCGGGGCGTCCGCGCCTGGTCCGGGTTATCGCGAGATCTCAGCAGGTACCTGCCGGGTGGTGGGAGCCTGTTATCCGGGTGAAATGTAAGATCTGTGGGAAGTTTCCAGAACGAGCTGTTGGAGTCGTTGCCAGAGGCGGTGGGGAGGGGAGCGAGTCCGGTGGGGACTGGGCCGAGGGAGGCGCAGGGCGTGCGGAGCTCTGGCTACTCATAGTCGATACTAATTACATATTCATCCTGTGTGTGTGAGTGTGTGTGAGTGTGCGTGCGTGCGTGTGTGAGTGCGTGCGTGTGTGAGTGTGTGTGCGCGCGCGTGAGTGTGTGTGCGTGAGTGCGCGTGCGTGTGTGTGAGTGTGTGCCTGCGTGTGTGTGTGCGTGCGTGTGTGAGTGTGTGCGCGTGCGTGTGTGAGTGTGTGAGTGTGCGTGAGTGTGAGTGCATGAGTGTTGCGTGTGTGTGTGCGTGCGTGTGTGAGTGTGTGCGCGCGTGTGTGTGAGTGTGTGAGTGTGTGTGTGTGAGTGTGTGTGAGTGTGCGTGTAGTGTGCGCGCGTGTGTGAGTGTGTGCGTGTGTGTGTGTGTGCATGTGTGAGAGTGTGTGCACGTGCGTGTGATTCTTCTGCTTCAACCTCCCTGCAGGCATGCACCACCTCACCCACACCCACCACCAGAAGGACTCACCCAAGGACTCTTGGCCTGATCCTTTTATGTATCCCAAGATGGAACAAGAAGGCTCGACCCCCTGGCCTCGTATATCCCAGGTGCATACAGGTGCCAGGCAAGACCCCGGGTATGCACCGACCGTGCCCAGGTAGGGCAATCCGACCTAAGCCAGCCTGTAAACGTTCTGTTGTGTGGGTCTAACCTGTAGGGAACTCTTGAGGCTGAGCTGTGAGACCCGGAAAGTGTAAGGTCCATTCCTAGAAGGCAAACAGACTTTGCCCAGTACCTGTGTTACCTAGGCAACTGGGACACCTGGAAGAGGTCACCTCTGCATCCGCTGAGGTCACATCTTAATCTGATGTGCCACACCTTTCTCCTACCTGATCCCACTTCCCTTTACCTGGACACACCTTTCTCCCCGCCCCTACCCTATATAAGGCCTAACCCGGGGCCAAACCCTCTCTTTTGCCAGCCACGTGGAGTGCCAACCTTGCCTGGTCCCAGCAGGTCTATTGAATAAACCTATCCCTACCTGAATACCACGTGCGTGGTGCTGTTCTTACTCAGCTACCTCTTTTTAAAAACCTAACAGAAAGGATTAAGAAATCAGACAGAAGGCTGAGAACTGGATTCTGAAAAGGTCAAACCATCAAGGCCAGACAGATGTAGAGCCGTTTGGACCTTGAAAAGCTTGAGGCTTTGGAAAAGGGAGTCAATTGTCACTATACTTAGCCTGTACTCTGCCCGCACCTGCAGTAACCTCCCCGTACTGAACTCAAGTTACCTCTGTCTCCTTGTTCAGACCCCACAAAAGCCTAATTCCAACCCCACCTCCTTGCACAACTTCTGATCCCTCAGGAAGATTGTGCCCCTTGCTGTCCCTCAATAAACAGTCCTAGCCTGTTGATAATTGAGTCTGGCCTTTGCCTTTCTCCTCCATTTTCCTAACTATTACAAGCCAGCTGCACACAAGCAGCTTTTCCCTCAGCTTCATTGTTCTGTAATGCTACCTTTTCGTGAATCCAAGTCAGAAAAGGATATACTTAACCTTTAGATTCCTGGCCAATGCATCGAATGCATTACCAGACATTTAGGGCAGCTAAGGTGACCTCAGGTGCCTGTGTCTGTCAAGAGATGAATTCAGGCAAGATGTGAACTGTAGTAAAAGTGACACAAAAGTGTATTAGGATAGAAATCTGGCAAGGAAGGGTGTGGCATCGCTCATCTCAGCTACTTTGGTCTTCTTCCTCCTTACAGAGCTTGGCCTTGGGTTGAATGGTGAAATGAGGGGTCTTTAAAGATGGCTTTCTGACTGGCAGGTCTCCTTTCTGTTTCCTGTAAAACTGTGACCTTAGAGATGTGGTGTCCCATCTTTATTTCCTCATTCTTCCGTTCCTCTTACTTTCTCCTTTTGTGGTCACCAGCCCCCATTTTGTTGTGTCGAAGGTTTCAGTTGATCAGTTTTCTCCTGTCATCTGTGAGTTCTGTAGACCACAATTTCCTGATGGGCTGATTTTCTATGAGGTCCTATCTCAAGGACAGGATGTTATCTTAAGTAACCACTGGACCACTAAAATGAGGACGTTGGACATAGGCAAGTTTTTTATCTAATCATGTGGAGAGTGCTCTGGTTGCCAGTGGGAGCCTGGACTAGGTGGGCCACTCAAGACTTGACAGCTGGGGCTGGGAAGGTGGCTCAGTGGTAGAGCGCTTGCCTTGCATGCCTGAGACCCTGGGTTCGATTCCCCAGCACCACATAAGCAAAAAGAAAAAAGCCGGAAGTGGTGCTATGGCTCAAGTGGAAGAGCGCCAGCCTTGAGCTGAAGAGCTGAGGGATAGCGCCCAGGCCCAGAGTTCAGGCCCCATGACCGGACCAAAAAAAAAAAAAGACTTGACAGCTGGCTCCGGAGGGCCCGGAGTCATGGAGCGAGTGACTAGTGCCCAGTTTAGATTTTGTCAGTTGTCCCTTTCATGTCATTTCTGACATCCCCCCTCCAGGAGCCCCTGCTAATGTAGGGGATTACGTAGCCTGGTGCCAAGCTGTTGGCATGGAGGGATTTGCCTCCTCCTGGTCTGCATCCAGGGTGCTAACACTACTTAAGCCAGCTGAGGTCTGAATGAGGTCTGAATGTTCCCGACAGTCCTTCCTCTTCTCTGTCTATTCTACTAGGAGTGTAGGGGGCTGGTGACCTCTGACCAATTCTCACCTTGGAGTCTTGTGAATTATTTTTTGCCCAGAGGGTCTTGAACCATGATTGTCCCATCTCTACCTCCCAAGGAGCTAGGATTACAGGGTGGAACTGCTGTGCCTGGTTTTTTTTTTTTTTTTCCCTTTTCTTTTGTGACACGGGGCCTTGATATATTCCCCAGGCTGTGTGGGCACCCTGCCTCAGCCTCAGAAATTGTTTTAGTAAGATATAATTTACATATGAAAATTTCCTGGGTCTTAAGTGTACAGTTCAATGATTTTTTTTTTTTTGCCAGTCCTGGGGCTTGAACTCAGGGCCTGGGCGCTGTCCCTGAGCTTCTTTTTGCTCAAGGTTAGCACTCTACCTCTTGTGCCACAGTGCCACTTCTGGCTTTTTCTGTGTATGTGGTGCTGAGGAATCGAACCCAGGGCTTCATGCATGCTAGGAAAGCACTCTACCACTGAGCCACCTTCCCAGGCCCTAGTGCAATGATTTTTAGTAAGTATGAGATATTCTATTTTTTAAACATTTTTGGGGGGTTTGAACTCAAGGCCTTGAATTTGCTAGGCAGGAGCTTTATCACTTGAGCAACACCTCCAGCCATTTTTGCTTGAGTTATGGTCTGCATTGGGGCTCTCTCTCTCTTTTTGCCTAGGCCAGCCTCAGACCTCCACCTCCCGAGTAGATAGGATTACAGGTGTGAGTCACCAGACCTGGCCTTCTAGAAGATTTTTATGACCCCCTACAATTCTGTTGTATGATTCTGTTTTAAGGCCAAGCTGGGTTGACAGCAAGCAGCTTAGTGGTTTCTTGGAGCTGTGGGCTGAGGGGGAACAGGATGATGATTAGAGGTTTGCTTCGTCACCTCATGGGTAAACCTGAGAGTCTCCCTGTGACAGAGCCGTCCGGCTCCACATATTTACCGGACAGACCAAGAGCTCTAAGCTCCAGGATGTGGCAGGGATTCTTACACAACTTAAGCTGATTGAGTACATGAATCCCCCTGCTGGGGTGGGAGTGGACCAAGTGAGAGGGAGGGGGTTGGTTCCCCTGCTGTTGGGTATAAAAGGGGCTTTACCGGCTCTCTGCTGAGAAACACGGCCTCCTCACCAGGGCCCATGAATTAACTGGGAAGAGGATAGAAGTTAGGTACCCTTTCTGTTTCTTTGTGCCAGTACTAAGGATTGAACTCAGGGCCTGGGCACTGTCCCTGCCCCCACCCCCTTTTTTTCCTCACTTGAACCACAACTCCACTTCCACTTTCTTGGCAATTAATTGGAGATTAGAGTCTCATGGACTTTCCTGCCTGGGCTGGCAGGCTTTGAACCATGATCCTCAGATCTCTGTCTCCTGAGTAGCAAGGATCACAGGATTACAGGAGTGTTGGCCTCCGTGATTTTTACCTGCATTTTCCTGCGACGTTAGTAATGGCGAAGGTGCTGGAGGCCATAGCACGCTGGGACAGTGGGAAGGGAGAGGGAGAGGGCGGCTTTGCGAGTCAGGAAAGAGGCTCATGCGGACTCAGGGCTTGTGGGGAGGAGTGGGAGGGGGGAGAAGGGCACCCCTGAGCAGCTTCTCTAGTGGGGTGCAGAGAGAATAGTCACACACGGCAGAGACTAAGAATGATGGTCTCTAGAAAGACTGAGTATCCATGTTGTGACCTACAATTCTAGGGAATTTAAATCTGTCCTGTAATTCCCTGTTTCCTAACATGACATTACTTGGAGTAGAAAAAAAAGGATGTTTTTTTTTTGGTCGGTTGTGGGGCTTGAACTCTGGGCCTGGGCGCTGTCCCTCAGCTCTTCAGCTCAAGGCTAGCGCTCTACCACTTGAGCCACAGTGCCACTTCCAGTTTTCTGGTGGTTCATTGGAGATAAGAATCTCACAGGGACTTTCCTGCTCCGGATGGCTTTGAACTGTGATCCTCAGATCTCAGCCTCCTGAGTAGCTAGGATGACAGGCGTGACCCGCCCAGCGAAAAAGATCTTTTCTCCCCTCTCTCCCCTCCCTCCCTCCCTCCCTCCCTCCCTTCTTTTCTTCTTAAAACAGGATTGTGAAATCCTGACTGGAAAGAAAGATAAAGAAAGAAAACAAAAAGACTCGTTTCTTGCGCTGTGAATGTATTCACCTGCTCCCTGCTCAGTCTGGGTTTCAAACCAGCCCAGAAGTTTTCCACAGAGCTGTGTGCTATGCGGCTCCTCTTCAGCGGCTGACCCTTTCAGAGATGCCAGTGGAGCCCCGGCTCAGCGGCCGCTGGGGGGTGACAGTGTCGCCGGATGAGGCCCGTCATTTGCCAGTGGGTGTGCCGCCAGGAAGTACAGGAACCCACCCAGAGCGCCCACGGCGGTGGCTGTGCTGTGGCAGGAGCAGCCGTCTGGGGGGGGGGGGCAGAAAGAGAGGGAGAGAGGGAGACCGCTGGTCACAGGGCTTCTTCCCCTGCCCTCAACTATCTTGCCATGTGTCCCATGGGTGCCCTGGGACTTTGTGTAGACCCCACTTTGCTGGGGCTGTTCCCCAGCACCTGGGGGGGGCACCCACTCTGTGAGAAGTCATGCCAACCCCTTCCTGCTCTGCCTTGTGGGACATCTGTTTATCTGGGTCGCTGTCCCAGAGTTTTTTGTTGTTGTTGTTGTTCAAGGCTGGCATTGTACCACTGGAGCCATGGCTCCATTTCCGGCTTTCTGGTGGTCAATCAGAGATGAGAGTCTCATGGTCTTTTCTGCCCAGGTTGGCTTTGAACATGGGATCCTTATATCTCAGCCTCCTGAGTAGCTAGGATACAGATGTGAGCCACTGGCATCCAGCCATTTAAAAAAAGAATGTTTTTGAGACAGTGTCTCCCTGTGTATTCCAGGCTGAGCCCCAACTCCAGATCCTTCTGCTTGAGCCACGTGGGGGCTGGGATTGCAGGCACCCACCATCCCACTTCCTAAGAGGAGACTCTCAGAGCCGCCTACCTTTCCTTCCACTCAAACTTCAAGGCCCTGGCCTCCCCCCCCCCCCCCCCCCCGATGTATGGGGCCACCGGGGTCAGGGGGCACTGCAGGCCTCAGTTTCCTAGCCAAGGGGTGCCTAGGGGCCTGGGGTCACCTGTGAATAGCTTTTCCCGCCTCCTCACTCTTCTCAGAGCGTGCTGTGGGGGAAGGGGCACACTGGGGGCTTCTTGGTCCTTGGTATCTGAAGGGGAGGAGAGAGGGGAGGGAAGGGGGGAGAAGGGAAGAAGGGGAAAGGGGAGCGTCAGGTCCTGCTAGATTTGAGCTGATTTAGAACCAGTCTCAATATTCCGCCCAGGCTGGTTGGAAGATCCTCCTACCTCAGCCTCCTGCGTGCAGGGATGGCAGGCATGAGCTGCCTGATCTGTTTTCTCAGTGTGACCTGTAAACCTCTCTCCATAACCCTCAAGTCCCTCAACACAGGCTATTCCAGAAGCTTCCTCCGTTACCTGTCTACAGGTCCTTCCAGGTGGCCTCCACTGTCCTCTCCTGATGGTTTCTCAAACTGTGGCTCTCAAACCACATGGATCAGCCCTCGGTGCCCTCCCTTGCCAGCCTCATTTCTTTGTTTAGGGGCTGTCTGCCCTCTTTTCCCCAGCCCCTCCGCCTTTCCCAGAGCCTTGTCATCCCGGCTACTCAGGAGGCTGAGATGTGAGGATCCAGGCTCAAAGCCAGCCCAGACAGGAAAGTCTGTGAGACTCTTATCTCCAATTGACCACCAGAAAACCAGAAGTGGAGCTGTAGCTCAAGTGGTAGAGCGTTCACCTTGAGTGAAAAAACTAAGGGGTAGTGCCAAGGCCTCCTGAGTTGAAGCCCCAGCGTCGGCAAGGCGCACACTAAAGGAAGTCCACCTCCTTCCCCATCTCATCCCAAAGCACCAAGCCCATTTCTACCTATGTGTGTGCATGCACACATGTGCACAGCACGCACATGTGCACACACATGCACAGCATATGCACAGTACACATGCATGGTACAGACATGCACAGCATACACAGTACACACATGCACACACGCACATGCACACGTATTACCAATCTCTCTCAGTGTCCCCACACCAGTGCACCCCCCTCCTGCCCTGGGGCTCCTCGTCGGGCCAGGAGTACAGCTCACCGGGGTTCCCGAAGCAGCCTTCCTGTTGCTTCTGCCAGCTGAGGATGGCCTCCAGCCACCGGAGCTTGTAGAAGTCGGAGAAGCCGGCGATGCCACAGAACATGACTGGAAGCAGGCACAGGGGCCCCTCTGAGGGTCTCCTCCCCCCCCCCCCCCCCCCGCGGCCACCTCCTTCCCTCTCCAGGGCCACTGTATTGCTGCCTGTCTCCTGCCTAGTGAGGCGGCGGCGGCGGCAGGAAGGTTTGAGCAGGGGGATGTTCCACGCAGGCTGGAAGGAGGAAGTGCTCCAGGCTCTTCCTCAGCAACCCAGGGCCTGCAGGTCTGTGCCCCGCCTCCCGTCCTCCCAGGGCTTCCGTCCGGCACAGGATTACTTAAATGCTAGAGCTGGAGCCAGGCCTGGTGGTACATGCTTGTGACTTCCAGTTATTCAGGAGGATGCTGGAGAATCCTAAGTTTGAGGCTAGCCTAGGTGAAGTTAGTGAGACCCTATCTTAAGAACAAAATACATGGTAGACCTGGTGGCTTAGACCTGCGATCCTTGTTTCTTGGGAGATGGAGTTTGGGGAACTGAAGTTCCTGAGCTAAACACACACACAAACGACAACAACATAAGTTCTTGAGATATCATCTCTGTCAGTGGCTGGGCATAGTAGTGACCACCTGTCCCCTTCAGTGATTTAGGAGGACACGAAGAGGAATATCATAGCCATCCTGAGCGCCAAGCAAAAATAAATAAATAACAAACTCATCCCAAATACTGCAGGGGATATACATTGTTAGGACAAGGATATCCCAAGGCAATATTTGGGATATGCTAACACTCTGCATTTCTCCATTGTTTATCTTTAGTTCCAACTGGATGGCTCATCCTGTAGGTTTTTACTGGTTTCATCTGACACCGTGAGTGTGCATGTGTGCCCCATGCTCTTACACACCCATTCCCACTCCCCCCCCCCCCCCACTTCCCCATCCTGAGAGCAGAAGGTGCGGAAGGCTCACTGTTCTCCATGAAGAGGTCTTGGGTGGGGTAGGTGTAGCCGGCGGCCTGGGCTCTCTGGTTCAGGGCCATCATGTTAGCACAGAAGATGCCGATGTACAGCTGGCTCTGGCGGAACAGGCTCTGTGTGCAGCCTTTCTGGAGACAGCATGCAGGAGACACGGAGGTTGGGTTACAGGAGGACCTGCAGATCGCAGAGGCTCTTGGGGATGAGTTTTTCTCCTTCCTCCCACCTCCCCAATCTGTGTTCCCAGAGGGCTTGTCAGTAGGGGTCAGGAAGACGGGTTTGAGTGAGTTCAGGCTCTGCCACCCAGAGGTTATGTGACTTTGGCTGGATAAATTAGCCTTTTGGAACTTCAGCATCTTCTTCTGGAAAGGGTGAGGATGCTAGGATATACACTAGGTGGCACTCTGCAGCCCCTTCTCCCTTGGCAGTGTCAGTGCCTGGCTGGTTCCGGCCCCACTCTGGGAGGACAGGGTTCAGAACAGCCAGGGTTTGAACCCCGGGCATGGCATATGCTAGGCACTCTTCTTTGGAGTTTCGCCTTCAGAGTAACTTTTGCCTTGTTGAATCTACCGAGCAAAACAATGTAGTTCACTGAGTGCTGGTGGCTCACACCTAAGCATGCCTCTGAGCTTTTTTTTTGGTTGTTGTTTGAGGCTGGCGTTCTACCACTTGAGCCATCCAGCTTTTTGGTGGCTACTTGGAGATAAGAGTCTCACAGATTTCCCTGCCTGAGCTGGCTTTGGATCTTAATCCTCAGAGCTCAGCCTCCTGTAGCTAGGATGAAAGGTGTGAGCCGCCAGGGCCTAGCCCCACTTTGGTGTGGAGACAGGGTCGCCTCTAAACTGAATCCAGGAGCCCCTCGGTTCCCTCTGCCTGCCCGTGGTGTCCATCATGCTGTCCCCTCCCCTCCGCCCGGCCCTCACTCACCATTCGGGCCCACAGGAAGAAGAGCAGCTGATGGGACAGGCTGTAGCCGGAGCAGCCGGCCTTGGTCATGAGCGCCCTGCAGAAGTCTGAGAGCATGCAGGGCTGGCTCTGGTCCGTCCTGGGGAGGCCGTCCTGGGCTGTCACACATCCGCCCAGCTTGTGACATGCCGCCCCCTCCCCCCAGGCTGTGACTTCCCCACAGGCTCTGGGCTAGACAAAGGGGTTGCTAAGAAGAAGGCTGGTGTCTGGTGCTAGCGTGGCTGAACTGCACCCCTGACTCTGGGGAGATGAAGCTGGAGGTGTCCGGGCTCATCTCCCCATAGGCTGGGACTTCTCCCGTTGCCCCGTACAATTCCCATCTTTCCCATCTCAGGCCTAAATAGGGGACTTGGATCCACACAGCTTGGAGGTCTGGGCCTAATATAATATACTTCCAGAGTCCAGTCACCTGCAGACTGAGCTCTGGTGTAACCCGGGCACCTATAAAGGATGCTGAGAGGATTAGAGTGGGGTACCAATGCCCATTCTGTCCTGGCCCCCTGAGCTTGGGGCTTGCTTCAAGCCCAGCTGCTGAATAATCCAGGGAGACCCACTGCCCCTGGACTGTGGAAGAGGCATGAACTGCATTTGCATACAAGAGATGTGGACTTCATTTGCATAAAAGGGATGTGGGCTGGGCCTGGCTATAGGTGCAGGCAGAGCCCTCCTCAGAGAGCTGCCTGGTGCCAGGATTGGTCTAGAGGTGAGTTGGTCTTGGGGAGTTGGGGGTGGATGGCTTGGGGCAGGGTGGGCCTGAAAGGAGAAGCCAAAGTCTTAAAGGGGGCGGTGCCATTGGGAGTATGCCCAGAGGCCCCTGGGAGGGTATGGGGCAGCAGAATCTGAGGTTTCCACTGCTGGGTAGGAGTTCACATCACACTGCCCCGGCATGCACACGTGAGGCATGGAGAGGGAGCCCCGCCCCCCACCCCTCTCAGTCTTCAGCCAGCGGGGGCAGTGGGGACCCACCCAGTTCCCAGTAGCTGCACCAGACACAAGTCACTGCTGTCCTCGGAGAACGAGTCATGGGGGTCGAGCCAGGCGTAGACTAGGGAGGCATTGGTGCGGGTCCACGTGTGAGGCAGCTTCCAAAACCCAGGCTGGAGGCTTGGCTGGAACTCTGCAGGGGAGAGGCGGGAGGGGCAGGGCGTGGCTGGGAGTCCTGGCTCCTCCCCCCAGGAATGGTGAGCCTGCCCACAGCAGGGGCAGGTGTGAATCCCCATAATCTCCAATATTTCTCCCCTCCCTCGTTAATAAGAATAATAATTATATAAGAATATATAATGTAAATTACATAATAACAACCACAGTAACAGTGTGGGTCAGGCTTTGGCTAAATCCACTGCCTTCCAGGAAGTCTGAGGCACCGGGAAGGAGTTCAGGTCGCACCATAGGAGCTCTTAAAACACACATGCCCAGTCCCCGCTCTCCTCATCCTTCTTCCTCTTTCCCTGGGCCTTGAGCACGCCCCCAGCCCCTTGGTTTTGAGACGGGGTCTTTGTAACTTTGCCAGGTCTGGCCTCAAGCTCAAGGTGCTCCCGCCTCTGGTGGGGTCAGCTGCAGGCCTCCTCAGAACGGTGTCAGAGGCTGGACGTGAGGGGCAGGCCTCTACCTCAGGTGGGGCTAGGGCCACCTGTGGCCGGGCTGCTGCTGCGGCTATGACCCTACCCCTGACAGAAACCCCCAGAGCTGGTTTCATAGCTGCCCGAATGTCCTCCCCAGGAGCAGCTCTGGCCAGGCTCATAAGATGGGCTCTGAGGCGGGTTTAGGTGAGGTGTGGGGGGCTGGTTTCAGGCCAGCTCAGGTGAAAGCTAGACACCCTAGCTGAAAAACAAACTAAATCAAACAAAGCCAGGTGCCAGGAGATCCCCTTGTAGTCCCAGCCACTTGCTAGGTGTAAAGATCAGGAAGATCATGCTTCAAGGCAAAAAGTTTATGAGATCCTCATCTCAAGCAATAGCTGTTTACAGTGGCACATCCCCAGCATCCCAGCTATAGGACAGGTGTAAACAGGAGGATCACAGTCCAGGCTGGTCAGGAAACAACCAGACCTAAACGAGTTGGGAGGGGGCATGCCTCCTTTCGGTACAGTGTCTGCCTAGTACGCTTGAAGCCCTGACTCCAAGGCCCAGTACCACGAAGAAGGCGCTGGAGAGATGCTAGAATGGGTGGAGTTAGGCGAAGGGGTGGACTGCCTTTTAGGGTTTCCATCCTTGGGGCAGACCAGGCCTGCCCCTCTTGGACAAGGCCCCTCAGGCTGCGGTGAGAGTTAAATGGTGAGGAGGGACAGTCACCTGCTGGGAGGGGGCTGCGCCTGGCCCTGCCTGGCACCAGCGGGGTCTCTCAGTTAAACACCCCCGATACGGCCTTCCCAGAGCCCCCCCCCCCCCCCCCGCTAGTACCTCTTAGGTAAGTGGGGTCGGTCTGCTGGAGGTAGACAACAGCCTGGCGGAGGAGGGCGGTCAGCTTGGCGGCCAGCTGCCCGGCGCGCAGGCCGAGTGGCCGCAGCAGGGGGTCAGCCGCCCACTTGTCCTGGATGCCCCGGAGCTGCTCTGGGGGACGAGGGGACAGAGGTCATTCATTCTGCCAGCTGATCAGCCACCCCGGCTGAAAACCAAGGCTTCACCGCTGCCCCCCCGGAGCCTTTGTGGGGTTGAGCTGGACCGCCAGCTGGGGCCAGAGGGCTGGACAGGGGCAGCTGAGGGCTTGTTCTCTGGAGGCGGTCTTGGGTTCGACTCCTGACTGATACTTTTTTCACAGGGTGGGTGGTGAAGAAAGCCATTTTATCTCTCTTCCTCTGGGAAAAGGGAACATGGACAATGGTCAATTCTGGGAGCTGGTGGCTAAGGATGGAACGTGCCAATAGGCACATGCTGTAGCCCAAGCAAAGAAGAGGGAGATGGGGAGCAGAGGGACAGGCCGAGAGCGGGTGGACCTGGTACACACCCACCTGTTTGCCTCCTGAAGCATCTTCAGGGTTCTGGAATGTTCTATAATGGGCCGCCTCCTCCCCCCCCCCCCCCCCCCAGCCTACCCTGGGCATTTTGTTTTTTGGAGAACCCTGCCCCGGGGGGATTAATTCTTCACACTTCCTTTTGCCTTTCCCCAGAGGTGAGGCTGGCGGATAGATGACCCTGCTCAGGTCCAGGTAGGTTCAGGGAGGGAGGTGGGGGGGGGGCACAGCAGTGTACGTGTGTGTGTGTGTGTGTGTGTGCGCGCGCACGCATGTGTATGTCTCCCTGTCCCTGCTTGTCTTGGCTTCTTTCCAGTCCATTCTCCAAGGATCTTTTACTTTCAAAACTAAATAAACACTTGATTGTTTTCTCCGGCCCTGCAGGTGGCTTTGGCTGGAAGTGCAGGAAGTGGAAAGGAGCCTGGTTTTGGGGACACTGTGGTGTCTCACCACCTTCTTGCAGGGGAAGCCCCCCAATTGTAAATGTCCATTAAAAGGGACCCCCTCACCCTCTCCCCTCCCCTTAATCAGGGCATGACGAGAAGGCCATCTGCTGGACCTTTGCCTTTTCAGAAGATGATTTCCAAATCTCTCCTCACGTTACCTTTAACTCCTTTCTCCCGAGAAGCTTGAGAACCGCCTGTTGAGCCCCTGCCCCAGACCAGCACCCCTCCAGTCCTCCCCCCACCCACAGCAGGTTATACTGGAAGCCGGGAGGTGTCCAGGGGTCCAGGGACAGAGCAGACCAGGTGGCCTTCCCAGGGGTCAGCCTGGGGTTCCGGGGGTCTCAGCCTGCTCACCTTCCAGCACCTGGAATCCCACCACTGCATCCAGGTTAACCCCAGGCAGCCTCTCCTGCAGGAACAAGGTGGCTCTCTCCAGCGCAGACAGGATCAGATCTGCCATGGTGGCCTTGCCCTGGGAGGTGTCCGGCTGTGGCAGGGAGGATGGCTGCCGTGGCAGGGCCAGGAGCAAGAGAAGTGCCAGCAGCCGGGGCCTGGCCATGTCTGGTGCTCTGACTGTAGCTGGAGCGGCAGGCATGCACCCTGGGTGCCTCTACTCACTCCTCCCGCCTCTTCCTCCTCCCCCTTTCCCCTGAAGATCTGCAGACAAGTGGCCTGACAGGGCCACAGGGGATAGCCAGGGAGGCCAAGGCTAGGGTCAGGCTAGGCCTGAAGTGCAGCCGGCCGGATGGCTGCCTGAGGGGAAGAGGAACCCGCCCTGGCCTTCCAGCCCCTGACTTCCCATTATGGACCAAGAGTGTGAGCTGCAGCTCAGAAATCCAAAGACCTGGGAAAGTCCGGCTGGATCCAAGTCTGGAGTAAACTCCCTGGAGGGCGGCCCTGTCTTCAAGAGCTTCTTTGGGGGGGTGGGGGTGGGGGAACCGTCCACTGGAATGAGAATTCAAGCTACAAAGGTAAGCATGTTGCACTTTCCATTTTTCTAGTACTGGGCTGGAGAGTGTAGCAGTGGTACAGCAGCTTGAGCTGAGGCCCTGGGTTCAATTCCCTGTGCCATACTTTTCTTTTTTTTTTCTTTTTAAAGCACTGAGAAGGCACTGAAATAGATTTCAATGACCTCTCTTATTTCCATCAAACACATTATCATTTCAAATGTACTCACTATAGAGTGGTTTAGCTTTCTCCCTCTTTCTCAAACTTAGGCTTGAGCTTGCCAGGCAAGTACACACCCACCCTCTCTCCCTCCCTCCCCCCCCCATCCATCCCTTCCTTCCATCCATCTTTCCTTCTTTTATTGTGCAGGTACTGGGGTGGAACTCAGGCCTGACACAGTCCCTGAGTTTTTATTGTGCTGGTACTGGAGTTAAACTCAGACCTGACACTGCCCTGAGTTTTTCTGCTCAAGGCTAGTGCTCTACTACTTGAGCCATACCTCCACTTCTGGCTTTTTGCTGGCTAACTGGAGATGAGTCTCTTGGTCTTTCCTGTCCTGGCTGGCTTCAAATTGTGATCCTCAGATCTCAGTCACTGGAGTAGCTGGGATTATACCCATGAGCCATCAGTGCCTGGCACCCCCCCCCCCCCCGAATCTTTTTGTCTTTAATTAAGATCGATCCAAATTCTTGTTTCGTTCCACTTTGAAATTAGTGCTTTGAAAAAAAAAGAAGTTATAGGTCTCTGTAGCTCAGTGGTAGAGTGCTTGCCTGGCACACACGAAGCCCTGGGTTCGGTTCCTCAGTACCCCATACACAGAAAAAGCCAGAAGTGGCGCTGTGGCTCAAGTGGTAGAGTGCTAGCCTTGAGCAAAAGAAGCCCAGGGACAGTGCCCAGGCCCTGAGTTCAAGCCCCAGGACCTACCAAAAAAAAAGAGGGAGAAGATAATGAGTAAAGTATACAATATATGTCAGAATAATAAATACTACACATTAAAAATGGAGTGTTAGGGCTGGGAATGTGGCTTAGTGGTAGAGTGCTTGCCTTGCATGCATGAAGCCCTGGGTTCCATTCCTCAGTACCACATACACAGAAAAAGCTGGGAGTGGTGCTGTGGCTCAAGTGGTAGAGCGCTAGCCTTGAGCAAAAGAAGCCCAGGGACAGTGCCCAGGCCCTGAGTTCAAGCCCCAGGACTGGGACCCCCCCCCCAAAAAAAAGGTATAGGTCTCTCTAAAGAATTCTGTTCACACCGATTTGTGGCCGCCCCGAACTGTGTGGTTCCGCGGAGCCCAGTTAGGGAACGGGCTCCTCGCCCCGCCCACTTCTCCCGCCCCGCCCACCAGCTGAAGAGTGGTTCTGCGGCTGCGCACTGCACACCGTGGGGGCGGGGCTACGACGCTGGACCACGTGGCCGCGACCGGCCGGGCAAGATGGCGGCGTCCTGCGTGGCGCTGCTGGCCCTGTGTCTGCTGTTGCCGCCGCTGCTGCTGCTGCTGCTGGGCGCGTGGAGGCGCTGGCCGCGGGGGCGCGCGGCCCGGCACGTGCTGGTCGTGGTGCTGGGCGACGTGGGCCGCAGCCCCCGCATGCAGTACCACGCGCTGTCGCTGGCGGGGTGCGGCTTCTCCGTGACGTTGCTGGGCTTCTGCGGTGAGTGCGGGAGGGGAGGGGCGGAGCACGTCAGCACGATCGCGTCATCGCGCACGCCACGCCCCCATGCCCCCCCACCCCTGCGTGCCACTCCCGCCCGGGCCTCTCGAGGGACCCGCGGGGGGAGGCGGGGAGCAGCTGGCAAAGACCACGGCCCGGGCTGAACCACTCACTCCCTGCGGGGGGGTCCATTGAGTCCTCGGGTTCGAATCCCGGCGCGCGGGGCCGCTGCAGCCCCTCCGCAGAGCCGCCTCTGAGCTGACGGGAGCCGGCCGGGCCCCTCCCGGCCCTCGCCCCTCGGCTCTGAGCCCCGCAGGCCCCGGGGGTTCACTCCACGCCGAGGCCCGCTTTCCCGCGGTGCAGGCCGGTGCGGTGCGGGCCGGAGCGGGTCCCCGTGGACCAGATCCTCGTGCATGGCTGGAGAGGGGGGCTCCGCCTCAGCCTAGGGTTGACCTTTAGCCTCTTGTGTACAGTCTGCTCCTGCTGCAGCGCGGCGGATCTAGACTGCCGTGCAGGAGTCTTGGTCGGCTTGAGCTCCTACGGTGCAGCTGGGCCTGGTGTTCGGTAAACGTGGTACGATTTTGGACCCCTTCTCGCTGGGCATTCTGGTAGAAATGGACATGAATTGGCCTTGTTCTCTGTTCTCCTTGGAGGAGGATCAGAGAGGTTTTGGAAACTCGAGTAGTGATGTGTGATTGTAATCCAAGCTACTCATGAGGCAGAGGCAGGAGGCTGCCAAGTTCAAAACCAACCAGGGCAGAATTACTGAGGGAACCTCAAGATATCCACAAAAGGGCATGGCTGAAGTAGTACAGTGCTTGCTTGCCCAGCATGCAGGAATCCTGAGTTCAAATTTTAGTATGTCAGGGGGAAAAAAGAAAGGTTTCATTTTATGAAACACTCACTTTTCATCTCAAGCTGAACAGTGGAGATATCTGACTTTAAGATTGGTGGCCACATGTGATTCATTCAAGGTGATGTTCTCATTTTCAGACTCCAAACCCCGAGATGAGCTCTTGCAGAATGACAGAATTCACATTGTGAAGTTGACAGAACTTCAGCATCTTGCAGGTAGGACGGTCAGTTCCAGGTTCCTCTGACTGGAGGGTGTGTGTGTGTGTGTACACAACGCGCGCGTGTGTGTGTGTTGTATATATGTATACATTTGCGAGTTGTATGCATGTAAGCCTGTAGATTGCCAGAAGCTCCTTTGGTGGTGTTAAGTATGTTTTGATTTGCAGTTGGGCCCCGAATTGTCCAGTATGGAGTGAAAGTTGTGTTTCAGACAGTGCACTTGCTGTGGAAATTGATGTGGACTGAGCCAGCGGGCTACATCTTTCTCCAGGTGAGAGCCACTTTAAAAAAAATGCACAAATTGGGCTGGGTGTGAACTCAGAAAGGCCCTGGGTTTGATTCCCAACATCTCACACAGAAATATGGACAAATTGATCAAGTACACGTTCATTTATGTATATAAACTTTAAACCAGGTGCTGGTGGCTCATGCCTGTAATCCTAGGTACTCAGCAGGTTGAGATCTACAGTTCAAAGCCAGCCAGGACAAGAGAGTCCTTGAGACTCTTACCTCCAATAAACTACACAGAAAAGGCTGGAAGTGGCTGTCTGGTTCAAGTGGTAGAGTGCTAGCCTTGAGCACAAAGAAGCTCAGGAACAGTGCCCAGGCCCTGAGTTCAAGCCTCAAGACCAACAAAAAGAAAAGAAAATGTGGTATATAATCCCTTTTTAATCCCTCCCCCCTTAGTTTCCCTCATTTATCTCTAGACCATCACTAGCTGCTGACAGGGGAGAGTGGAATCTTTTCATGTCCTTTTTTTAATTTTTAAACTTTATCTTATGTAAAGATGCTGTACAGAGGGGGTACAGTTACATGAGTAAGGCAGTGAGTACATTATTTGTCGATCATTGTTACCCCTTGTAGTCCCACTATCCCTTCCCTCCCCCAGTTCTTCTTCTTTTTTTTTTTTTTTAAATAAGGAATTTGTTTCATCCTTGCACAGGGGCCGTGCTTCATTCTAATTGTAATTTATATCTGCCAGAGCAGGCAATTCTGTTTCTTGGTTATAACAAATTTGGTAGCAGTTCTGTTTCATTTATGATCTGGCACTTCTGGTGGTGGAGAGGGTCTTTATTCTACTCATTGGTTACCTAGAGGTCAGTCACGCTTCCCGTCTCCCCGTCATGGTGGCACACTGCTGTAATTCAGCACTCGGGAGGCTGAGGCAGGGAGATTGAGAATTGGAGGCCTGCCTGAGCTACACAGAACGAAACAGCTCTTGTCCTTCACGTCTGTGTGCCGTGGGCACGGCGGCTTTTCCCTGGGATCGTGCGGCATGTGGTTGGGCTTCCTCCTCAGAGTCCACATTGCTCTCTTTCCTAGAACCCCCCGGGCCTGCCTGGCATCGCCGTCTGCTGGTTTGTGTGCTGCCTTTGCAGGAGCAAGCTGGTCACCGATTGGCACAATTACGGCTACTCCATCATGGGCCTGGCGCACGGCCCGCAGCACCCGCTTGTCCTGTTGGCTAAGGGGTGAGAGCTGGGGGCTGCAGGTGCCATGCTAGAACTCCTTCCCGCAGGGAGGTGCCGGCTCTGGAGCTGCTCCGAGCCTGGTGTCACCTCCTCTGTCTGGGCACTGCCGGCCTCAGGCCGCCCACCCCGGGGGCCTTGCTCACTGTGGGTGGGAACAGCAGCAGCACCTGGCAGCCTAGGCCCCTGCTGTGCGCACCCACTCTGTGCTGCGCCTCAGGGGTGCCCTCCGTCTCGCCCCAGTGAGGGGGTGCTGCGTTCTCGTATGTGTGTTTAACAGAAGAGTGACGGGACGGAGGGGGTAGGGGGGAGAAGGCTGGTACAGGGGCTGCTCGGTTGGCACCAACTCCGGCAGATCTGGGAGATGGCAGCTCTGTAGCCTGGTGGAGGTGTTGGTGGCCTCTGGGCCAGCCCCACCCCAGCTGCGCGCTCACCTGAGACACCTTTGCAGGTATGAGAGGCTCTTTGGGCGTCTGTCCCACCTGAACCTGTGTGTGACCAACGCCATGCGGGAAGACCTGGCAGAGAACTGGGGCATCAGGTACCTCAGCCAGCCCAGGGGTCCCAGGAGTGTCCAGGGGCAGCTGCCACTTGCTACATCTGTTGGTGGTTTTCCGGCACCCACCAGATGGCTATGGTTTTGGGGGAGCGGGGTGGGGGGAAATGTTAGGCAGCTTCTTTTCCCACCTAGCTGGGGCAGTCCTGGAAGTTTGCTGCTTAAATATCGTGCACTTCCCAAGGAATCCGGACGCCTGGGATTCCCCAAGAGCTCTTACTTGCTTGGGTCTGTCTGTCTCCTCCTTCCCTCAAGTCCTTTGTGCCCTGACTGGCCTCTCCTTTTAGGGCTCTGACTGTCTATGACAGGCCGGCGTCTTTCTTTAAGGAGATGCCCCTCGAGCTGCAGCACGAGCTCTTCATGAAGCTGGGCCGCACCCACTGTCCTTTCCAGGCACGGTTCGTCTTGTCTTCCTGTGCTGGCTGCCCACCTGGGTCTCCCTGTCCCCTCCTACACACCCGGTATTTCCCATACTCACGGGTGGGTTGACGGTGTCTGCTCACGGGCCGCAGCTGCAGAGCTGGGTTTGGAAGAGCTAGGGTGGCCTGAGTATTCGTATTCCCCTTCAGGAGCGGGGTGACAGGCGGGGAAAGGGGGAAGCCTGGAGGTCAGTGTAACTTGAGTGTGTGGGGTGGTCGTTGGGGCCAAGTAGCCCAGAGCCCGTGGCCACCTGGCTCCGAGGGTTTTGCCACATCCCCTGGGCTTTCCTTGCTCCTTCAGTTCTGAGCCCTCGGACCCCGCCACAGAGAGGTCGGCCTTCACCGAGAAGGATGCCGGGAGCGGGCTGGTGACGCACCTTCCTGAGCGGCCAGTGCTGCTGGTGAGCAGCACCAGCTGGACAGGTGTGCCCGCGCCCCTCCCCACACTGGTGTGTCCACCCCCTACACCTGGGGGCTCCTGCCAAGTCACAAGCCCGTCCCCACCCCGGGGAGGAGGGGGTGGTGTCGGGGAGGTGACCTGTGACCCTCCCTTCTCTCTCACAGAGGACGAGGACTTCTCCGTCCTGCTGGCCGCATTAGAAAGTAGGTGTGTGGTGGGGTCCATTGTTCTGGGCTGGGCAGGGGTCACTGATCCGTGAGACGCTTGCTGGGCCTTTGTGGAGGGTCTTCCTGTGCCCCCTCCCCTCCCCCCCCCTCCCCCGGGGTCATGGGGCTGGTCAGCCTAGCGAGGAGGGAGGTGGTGTGCAGCTCTGTGTCCCATCTTGAGGCTCTGGGGCTGAAGAGCATCTCAGGGCCAGGGTCTCCCTAGGGGAAGGGCCCCCCCACTTGGCTGTCCTTTGTCATCTTTGTCTAGATGTATGCATGTATGCACGTACGTATGTTGAGTGTGTTTTTTGAGGTGCTGGGGACCCAACCCAAGGCCTCAGAAGCACTTCTCCCGTGTGAGCCTCATCCCAAGCCTTGTTTCTTGATTTTTCTAACAGAGTTTGAGCAGCTGACTCTCGGCGGGGCTGGCCTGCCTTCCCTCGTGTGTGTGATAACAGGTACCCGGCTTCCCTGGGGCCTGCTCCCCTGCTCACTGCCCTCTCAGTCGGATGCCCACATCTATACAGCGCACCCAAGACCCTGGTGGGCAGGGTGGGCCCTGTGCCCCACCTCCCGGCATTTGGCCTCTCAGGGTGTGCCTGGCCTGGGATGGCGGCTGCAGGGCTGCGCTCTGAGGTGGGCTCTGAAGGTAGCTGGGAGAGAGGCTTCTGGGAAATGGCCTCCCAGCCTGAGCGGGGTCCGCTGAGGCCTGGGCGTGGGGACACACGGTCCAGGGCAGCGACTACTCTTCTTGCGCAGGCAAAGGGCCGCTGAAGGAGTACTACGGCCGCCTCATCCGCCGCAAGAGCTTCCGGCATGTCCAGATCTGCACGCCCTGGCTGGAGGCCGAGGACTACCCGCTGCTGCTAGGTGAGGGGCCAGGGAGGGCGGGTGTTAAAGGGGGTGCACGCAAGAGCCAGCTGGGAGAGCGCTGCTGGCTTCTGTAGCATAGTCTTAAAAAAAAGAAAAAGAAAAAAAGCTGGGTGGCGGTGGCTCACGCCTGTCACCCTAGCTACTCAGAAGGCTGAGATCTGAGGATCGCAGTTCAAAGCCAGCCTGGGCAGGAAAGTCCGTGAGACTTATCTCCAATTAAACACCAGAAAACTTGGAAGTGGAGCTGTGGCTGAAATGGTAGAGCGCTCGCCTTAAGCGAAAGAGCTCAGGGACAGCACCCGGGCCCAGAGTTCAAGCCCCACAACTGACCAAAAATTAAAAAATTAAAGAAACGCTTTAGGGCCAGGTGCCTGTCCTCCTAGCTACTGAGGAGGCTGAGATCTAAGGATTGTGATTTGAAGCTAGCCTGGGCAAGGAAGGCCATGAGACTCTTTTCTCTAAATATCTTACTCTTGCCACCCCCCCACAAAATGACAGACGTGAAGCTGTGTCTCAAGTGGGTAGAGCACTAGCCCGGAGCAAAAAAGCTCAGGGTCAGCACCCAGGCCCTGAGTTCAAGTCCAGTACTGACGTACATACACAGAAAAATTATGTAGGCAAAATAGCTTCAGAAAAGCTGCCACTGCCACCACTGTGAGTACATGCCACGTATACACCAGTGGTATTCGAGATATCCACCAAGCTGTGTAGGATCTTCATCACCTTCAGTAGAAGCTGGGTTGTTGTGCAGTAACTGCTGGGAAGTTCCTTTTTCCTTTTTTCCTTCCATTTTTATAAAGGTGATGCACAGAGGGGTTACGTTTTCATGACAGGCAGAGTACATTTCTTTTTGGACAATGTTACCCGTTCCCTTGGTCTCTCAAGGCTGGGCAGGTCTTTCAGAATAAACTGTGGCTACGTAGGAAGCATGTGTTCAACTCTGGGCAGCCTCTGATAGGCCTGATGGCCAGTGGCAGAGGCCCAGGGCTGCCTGGCCACCGTCAGTGGGGACACTTGTTGGGAACATTGCCTGTTTCTGTGTGTGGGAGGGGCCACACAGTCCCAGGCAGCTGCTCCCCAGCGCCCTGACTACCCGTCTCCCTCTCCAGGGTCGGCGGACCTGGGCGTGTGTCTGCACAGGTCGTCCAGCGGGCTGGACCTGCCCATGAAGGTGGTGGACATGTTTGGGTGCTGCCTGCCTGTGTGCGCCGTGAACTTCAAGTGGTAGGCGTGGAACCGAGCCCTCCTGGGTGGGATACAGATGAGCCATCGGGGTGCCATGTGTGACCTGCAGGGTGCTGCCTCCCTGCACCCTGGGGGGGGGCAGAGGACCCCATTTCTGTGGTGTCCACACGCATGGCTTCAGTGTCATCGCACCGGCGGGGGAAGCTGCCTTCGCAGCATTTACTCTGGGTGATGTACATCATCTGGAGAGGATTTGGGGCCCAGGTCACCCACAGACCCTACCCCTCTGCTGAAGGGCCTGGTCTGCAGCACAGGCCGGGCCCAGTGGTGGGTGGTGGCTTCCCGCAGCGCTCACTGGAGCACAGGGCCGCGCGAGCCAGTGGCCTGCTTTCTTCTCTCCTCCATGGGCCTCTCCTGGCTGCTCTCCTGGATGAACAGTTAAACAGCCACAGCTCTAAGACTTCCCTCCCCTGGCAGCATAGACAGTGGGAAGGGCCATGATAGAGAAGGTTCTGGAAGCGGTGGTCCTGGCATAGGCCCCGGGTGGGCAGTTAGGGTGTTGACCGTGGTGTGAGCCGAGTTCAGGGTCCTTGGGGATAGAACAGCCATCTTTAAGCCGTACTTTGGCTTCTTCCCTTGGTTCGCACACAGGACCAAAGCTGCCTTGGGGTGGCTCCCTGCCACACATGTGCTGCCACGTGTCCAACACTCAGGTCAGAGCAGCTGCCCCAGCCTGCTCCCCGCCTCTGCGTGAGTGTGGGCTCTGGGCACCCGGCGGGCTCAGGCTCCCCCTGCTCTCCCTGCAGTTTGCACGAGCTCGTGAGGCACGGAGAAAACGGCCTGGTGTTCGAGGATGCGGAGGAACTGGCAGCTCAGCTGCAGGTAGCCGTGCTGGGGCCAGGGCTTGAGGGGTTTGGAGGAGGCCCAGCAGCGGCAGCTGTGGGGGTCTGTGGATGGCTAGTGCCGGGGCCACAGAGGTGATAGGTCATGCCGCCAGCCAGCCCCTGAACACCGCTTTCCCTACCTACCCCGAGTTTGCGGCTTACCACCCACAAAAGATGGGGTGCTGGGCTTCCCTCCAGGGAGCAGGGAGAGGCAGTGGGGCTCGACTAGGATATAAAATTCAGTCCTTTTTTTCTTTTCATTTTTGGAAGAGGTTTGCTTATTGCAGTACTAGAGATGGTACTTGCCTTGCCTTGCATTTTCTAGGCGGGTGCTGTAGCACCTGCACCCAGCCCCAGCCCATGGTTCCTGAGTTGAATAGAGACGGCTGGGTCTGGAAAGGCTTCACCCTTCTGCTGTAACGTGAAAGCAGCCACCAGTCTGTGCATGCATGGGATTGTAAATAAAACTTTATTTCTCAAAGCAAGTGGGCTGGACATGTTCCACAGACCCCCACTCCTTCCTCCCCTGCAGATGGCTAGCTGGCCTGCGGGCCAGGATGAGGGGCTCCTCTAGGGCCGGGGCCGTGGCAACAGGAGCTGGCTCCCCAGCACCCCATGACTGAGTGGGATCCAGTTAGGGGTGCGGCTGGATAGACCCCGGAACAGTGGTTTGAGGGCCTGAGATGCGGATCTGTGCTCTGTGCTTTTCCTGCAGAGGCTTTTCTCCAAGTTTCCTGACCCCACTGGTGAACTACAGCAGTTCCGCGAGAACCTCAGGAGTGCAGAGCAGCTCCGGTGGGACGAGAGCTGGAGGCGGACCGTTCTCCCCTTGGTGGACTGACCCTGGGGCCTGGGGCCACTGTTATTGAGTGCCCCCCAGTGGCCAGAGGCGGGAAGGACCGCAGCAGGCACTCCGCGGCGCTGACCTAGGGGCTGCTTGGCCCAGATCCCAGGCCTGAGACTGGGTTTGTCTCCTGCAGTGGGACCAAGAATTGTGATGTAGAGCACACACGGGCTGGGGACACACGTGGCAAATACATACTTATTTACACAGAGGACCCGGTCTGAGAGCCCGGAAGCAGCACCCCCTCGTGCCCGCTGCCTCTTCTCAGGAACGTTGGTGGTTCTGACTCAGAATTTAACCCTTCACAGGGTGGAGGCAGTGTGGTTCACAGAGCCCCTTGTCTGGTGGAGATCAAGCCTCCCGGTGCTGGTGCACCTACAACGTGAGCCTCAGGATGGAAGTCTCTGAGCATCCTTCGTAGGGGAACAGCTTCCGGGTGTGAGGCGGCACTGTCTCCCAGCCGATCTCAGCGTCGTCTGAAATGGCACAAGGTCTCAGGATGGCAGGACAGGGGCAGGTGTGTCCAGCCTGGCTCGAGCTGATCACAGGTTTCCAGGCTCTGTAGCTGTCTATAGTCTACCTCTGGGGTGGGACCAGGAACCTGTGGTCTTAAGGCAGGAATGACAGGCTGGGCATGGTAGAACACGCCTGTAATCCTAGCTACTTGGAAGGCCAAGATCACCTAGGCCAAAAAAGTTTGGAGACTCCATCTCTGCCATTACATACAAAATAGCATGGAGGCCCATCTCTCATCCCAGTGGTGCGGGGAAGTACAAATAGGAGGATTGCAGTCCAGGCCAGCTAGCCTGAGAATAAAGGGAGACTTTACTGAAGGAAAATAAAACAACAACCAGAAACAAACAAAAAAAGGGCAGGAGGTATGACTCAGTAGTAGAGCACCCACCTGGCAAGTGTGAGCCCCCAGGTCGAAACCCCAGCATCACACACACACAAAACCCAACCCTTCTCCAACCCTGCAGTGACAGCCACGGGAGCCCTCAGGTCCCCGTCACTCTGCACCCATCCAACCTGCCAGTCAGCCCAGGGGGCGAGGAGCTGCGATCGGAACCTGCATTGGCCGGGCTGCTGGACCAGCGGACCGCACAAGGCCAGGACCGGGGCGTGTGCGGGCGCAGATGGCCGGGCTCGCTCGCCATGGAGTCCCAGTTACGGTTATTATAAAACCAGTTAGAATAGACAAAAAGATGTGGAAGGCTCTAGACTGTTGCTACTAACTGGAGTGTTCTAGAAATTCCCCATAGTTACAGAGACATGGAGATAGTTGTCTTGAGGGGTGCTGGGGGTGAAGCCCGGGACCTGTGCAGACTAGGCTAGGCTGTGTCCCTGAGCCACACCCCAGCTGCACACAGGGTGGGGGCTGCAAGCACCGACTGCCCGCACCCAGCCTGAGACTGCATCTGAGGCCCGTGGTGGGGCTCCCCCCTCCCCCCCCTCCCCCGTCAACCTCCCAGGCCCATCTCCACCTCATAGGAGGCGCGTGGGGGACACCACGGTGGCCTGAGGGCCCAGGGCTCACCCAGCTCGGTGGTGAACAGCCGGTACGTGTCTGGGTTGCGCATGGTGAAGGCCACGTAGACTTCGGGCGTGCAGCCCCCTGGGCAGGCAGAGAGCCTGTGCAGGATCCCAACCAGCGAGCGGGTCACGTCCGGGCAGTACAGCACGTCTGCGGTGAAAACCCATGTCACCACGAGCTCGGGCCCGCTGGCCGCAGGGCAGGAGGTGGCCGGGTGCATCAGAGCTGTGCCACGCACTGCCCGGGGAGGGGACGCTGGGGGCGAGAGGTGCTGGGGATGGGTGTGCCCCACGTCTGAAGCTCTGGGGGTGCGCAGGCCACTAGCCGCCTGGCACTGATGTGGGGGCAGGGTGGGGTGTCCTCTGGGTGTTCACCACCCTGGAGCCCCCGGGGTGACTTCGGGGTGCCCTGTGGGCCCCTGCCCGCCACACTGCGGCCCACCACCCCCGAGACATGGCCAGGAGCCCAGGGTCACCGGCTGCGATGATGACGTCCGGCTGGAAGGCAGCGACCTCAGGGGCGGTGGCCACGTCCCAGTCCAGGTGGGCCACGGTCACCAGGGGCGTGTGCGTGTCTGCGGCGGGCTCTGGCTGCAGCGAGAAGCCGTTGAGGCCCACGTTCTCCCGGAGCTGCCGGAGCACGCGGCTGTGGCAGTCACTGAAGACATAGGCTCGGGGGCGGCACGACTTGCAGATGACCAGGCCCGTGAGGCCGGCCCCGCTGCCAAGCTCCAGGACCGTCCTGGGTGGGGAAGGGGGCCCGTGTCTGTGACTGCCCAGCCCCGCTGCCACGCTCAAGGAAGACCCAGGGTGGGGGACGGGACCCAGGTCACCTGTGAGCAAAGGTGGCTGGGTTCTTGATGGCCCACTCTGCGAGGTAGAGGGCGGCGTCCCATGTGACCAGGCCGGTGGTGCCGTGGGACACGATGGCTGTGCTCTCAGAGAGCGTGACCACCGCCCCCGATGGCTGCAGGGAGACAGGGCGGGAGAATTAGCCCAGGCACGCACAGTACAGATCGCCACGTTAGACCACAGCGGGCAGTGGCTAAGAGATGGTGGGTGTCCACTGTGGGGGAACACTGCTCAGTAATGAGGAAGAGCACACTGTGGGCACGCTACCACCAGGACACTGCAAGGGCCCGTGTAGGGTGAGAAGCCAAGCTGGGGTCCCATGTCCCATGGCGGGCGGGAGGAGGGCGCATGCGTCATACCAACACGTAGCTCCGGTGGCACCGGGTGGACTCCTTGGCTGTGAGGACCTCTGCCAGCGCTTCGTACAGCTCATCCGAAGGCTCGGTGTGGACAGCTTCGTGCTGGGGACAGACAGGGCCATGGGACAGCTGGGGTGGCACCCAGCTGCTGCCTGTTGGCTTTGGTTGTGATCCAAAGGTGAGGCTGGAATGGGACCTTGTCACCGCGCCCTTCCTCTGGCCTGATTCTCACCATGGTGACAGAGATTTGGGGTGGAAGGTCGGAGGAAGGGACGACAGGTGGATCCCACCAGGGCCGCCAGGGACTGAGGGAAAAGCTCCGCCAGTCTTAGACCAGAGAATGGTCCGATGAGTCACCAGGGTGGCACCCCAGCTGCTCTCAATGGCACCCCTGAGATTCACCAGGTGGGACTAGGCTCATCTGAGGACCAGCCGGGCTTCTGGGGACCCAGGAAGGCCCCAGAGGGGCCTTGGGCAGGGGTGATGGAGGGGCACAGGTCATTAGCGTGTGGGCTGGCTGACAGGATTTGCTATGGCCCGGCCTGTGAATGTAATCCTTCCAGCCAACTGCGCATGGAGAACGTCACTGGCTAGCTGCGAAGGAACGTATGCTACTGCTCAAATTTCCAGCGGCAGCCATTGTGCCATTCCCCAGGCTGGCAGGTACCAGGCGGGATCCGAGTGGGTGGGGCTGTGGGGCAGGGAGGGGGTGCCCCCAGTTCTCTGCAGGACCAGAACCTGTGTGGTGGGAGGCGACCAGAACAGACGTGGCTGGTGTTGAGAGCGCTGGATGTGAGTGGGAAGAAAAGCCTTGCTGTCCCCTACCCCTGCCCTCCCTTCTCACTCTGCCCTGTCCCTGGTGGTCCAGCCCACTGCCCTCTGGAGGCCCCTGGCACAGGGCTGGCAGGGGAGGCATGGGGCAGGGGGGAGGGGTGGGGGGCCTGGCAGTCCCTGACTGTCACTAACCTTTTTGATGAGCTCCAAGACGAAGCTCTGGGTGTAATTCTTGGATGGTGGGTGTCTTGCACACACAGGGTGTCGCACTGTCTACCGGAAGAACCCAGTGGTTAGATCTTAGCTTCTGACAACTTCATCTAGGAACACTGAATCCTGGCGCCCTTACCTTCTGTAAAATATCCAGCAGCAGCTGCTCAGACTCTGGTGAACATCTCAATTTCTCTTCTAGGCTCTACTGGGAGGAAAAGAAAGATAGATGGAGCATGAATGAGATATTAAGCCATTTTTTTCCCCTCAGCAACACGAAACATGCACAACTGGTAAGCAAAGCATGGAGTGCTGCCTCCTTGGGGTCAGAAGTGGGAGCCATCGGAGGCTGAAGCCTGGTGCTCACCTGTCAAGGCTGGATTGGACCTGCCCTCTGAGTTGGGACGGAGACTCAACTGTGCAGGGGTTAGGCCTGCTCATTCGGTGCTCTTTCGGGGGACTGGAGCCCATTAGTGAGCTCGGGATCCAGGCAGATCAGGCCCTGGCTCCTCCTTGATCTCCTCTTACCACCCTGTCCCATACGTCCCCCTCTGGCCACACTGACCCCCTGTGTTCCCACTACAGGACCTTTGTACTTCTTGTTCCTCAAGGCAGTCCAGCAGCGGCTGGCTGCTTCACTAAGTCTCAGTTCAAATGCCGCCTCTTGGCTAAGTCTCCCGTTTCCCCCAGTTCTGTCTCCCTGTTTAAGTGGTGTTATGGCAACTTTCCTGTGGAATTTTCTTGTTCAATCATTTATCAGTTCTCTGGGGCTCTCATCTGAGCAGGGCCTTGTCTGTAACACAGACTGCCCGGTGCCTGGCCACTAAATCAGGGAGGCGCTGACTAACTTAAGGACGGTGACACAAACAGCTCCAGGAAGTCAGTATCACTGATTACGATGGTAGAGAGATGCTGTCACGGCGTCAAGCAGTATCTAGGGGTGTGGGTCAGGGACAAGGCCTGGGTCCTCGCTCTGCTTCTCTCCTCATTGAACACGTCCTCTGATCGGCCTTTGAACACGTTCTCGGGTCGGGCTGTCAGCGGTAGGCCGCAGCTCTCGGGTGCTGGCCGTATTCACGAACGAATACAGTGGGCCCTGAATGGGGGCCTACAGCTGCTGTTACCTTCCGTGTCGGAGGCAGACAAGGAGGCCTGGGTATCCGAGGGGCTCACGCATGAACTCATCACCGCACGTGCATCGCCAAGCAGGGTGCGGTGGGGTCCACGGAGCCCCCGCCGCTGCGGGGACCACGCGCCAGCCCGGGTCCCCAGGCCCTGTCAGGCCTCGGCTGCTCCGGGGCGGCTTTGAGGTCCGATCCCCGGGGGGCCGGGCTGGTCACCGTCCCGGTCCTGGAGCGCGATCGCGCGCGGGCCGCGACCCTGCGGAGCCCCACGCGGCGGGGGCCCCGCGCTCCCGCACCGCCCAGGCCGCAGGCCCGGGGGGCTCCCGGGGCCGCCCGCCGGGGCTCCAGTCCCGATGCCTCCCCCCCCTCCCTTCCCGAGCCCACCGGGCCCCGGGCCTCGCCGCCCACCTGCCAGGGGAAAGAGCGCAGCGCCCGCGCCGCCAGGAAGCGGCGCTCGAAGCTCCGCAGCAGGCCGGCGGCTGTCTCCGCGCGCTCCTCCAGCGCCATGGCGGGCGGGGCCGGCGTTGCTAGGAGACGGGCGGAAGTGGGTCGGAGCCTACAAAGGGGGCGTGGCCGAGGGCCTGACGGCGTCCTTACAGTTACGGGGCGGGGCCAAAGAAGCCTGGGCGGGGCTTGTGGCGGGGCCAGGCGGGATCCGGCCCCCATGGGGGCGTGGCTAGACGATCCCCGGGTAGTGGGGGCCGGTACCACTCCCCTGGCCCGGGTCAGGCCCTGGCTGTGGGTGTCCTCCAGGGCCTCAGGGCTAGCTAGGAGGACATTAAATAAATAAGCATTCAGTAGGCCTGGGGAGCACACAGGATCACCTGGGCTTCCAGGGGTTTGCTTTGATCTTTCAGGAAGAGGAAAAAAGTCACCCAAACTCCAACACACCCGAGCGCACGCGCACACACGAGCAGACAACAAAGTGAATTCATTTTTAGTTGCAAGGCAGGACGGCTTGCAACCTACTCGGGCTCGGAGGCTGACTGTGTGTGCCAGTGTTGGAGCTTGAAGCCAGGGCCTGTGTACTATCCCTGCCACTTGCGACACAGCTCCACTTCTGGCTTTTTGGGGTCGTTTTATTGGAGATTAGAGTCTCCCTGGGCTGGCTTTGAACTGCGATCCAGTCTTCGTGTCAAAGAGTGGAGGTGAGGTTCAGTGAAGTTTCCCTTTAAAGGTAGGAACTCTTCACTTAGGGTACTTGACTTTGATTGCAGAATAAGAATTACAATGGTAAGGAAACTTGAGCTTTAAGGAGTAAGTAAACAAACAGACAAAGGGACAGACAAACACACTGAAGAGCAGGTCACAGCCTAACAGGGTGTGGGAGCTCTCCTGGGGAGATAGAGACGCACAGCCCCTTGGGCTATTGGAGGTATTTATATGGTAGGAGGGGGAGGGTCTGGCTTCAAAGTTATGCAAAGATAGGAGCTTTGTCTTTACTCTAATCAGATGTGGTGTTAACTTTGGGAGTTTCTAGAAACCGATCCTTATCCTTGAGATAAGGAGTCAGCCTGCTATTTGCATTCTGGGGCACGTGGCTTAAGTTTGCAGAAAGTTTTTTCTCTGGAGGGCGAGCATTTTATCAGACAAGTGTTAATTCCTGGGGTGAGGAATGCATCCTGTTGTCTTTCTTTGAAGCAAAGATAGTACTTATATGTTTCTAAATACCCTGTTTCTGTGGCCTTCAACAGGACTCAGTTTCCTTAAATTAACCTGTTTCATTTTCCCTTAAATGACTTTGGTCCCTTAATCTCAAGGGAAGCACATGAAGGAATATCTCCTATATTTGCTGTAAGCTGACCACACCTCATCTTCCCTTCATCTATTCTGCCGGGGTGACAGGCGTGAGTCACCAGCCTTCTGCAGCACTGACATTCTGACGCTGGCAGATCTCTCAGATCTCTCCATATGGGGAATCTCAAGCTAATTTGTTAAATATGCTCACAGCCGATAGAAGGGTAGAGAAAAGGACAGATTAAGTCTTATTACCTCTTTCAGATGAAAAACTTGTGAGCCCTGCTCAGCTTAGAGGAGGAGAGGGATTAATTCTAATTGAATGCAAGTGTTCTCTCTAATCTGTGGATCCTCCACTTCACCGAGCCAGTGAGCACAGATCGGGTAGAGAAGATTCATCATTTATTTCCAGAACCTTTGGTTTACATGAAGGCAGCGGGCCAGGGAGTGATCAGCTCCCTACCTGCTGTAGACCACGCAGATCTGTGGGGATGGCTCGGGGACCCTCGGAGATCCCAGGCTTACACATGGCCCCGGTGCCTCCCGCCGGCCATCTCAACCACTCAGGAGGCAGAGATCTGAGCATCCAGTTTCAGGAGAAGGCATGCTGACTAGAAGTGGCAGGACTTCCCTGAGCAGTCTAGCCCAGGAGGGAGTGGGTGTACAAACCAACTCTAATCCTCCAGCTTGGAGACTTTCTATGAGAACATAATAACTGAATGCATTTAAGCAGGGTGGAATGATTCTCTTTTAGAAGGGAAGGTGTGGGCAAAGGCAGTCAGTCAGCACGCAGGAGTTTTTCCTTTCTCTCTCCCACAACTAGTAGTTTTGTTGAGAAAAGACCAATTGATTTCTTTCTGAAACATTGCTTCAGCGTCTCAAGACCTCTATGGGTCATAGTTTCAACTTCTGGACACATTTTTATCTTTAAATTGTATTAAATATGGAGTCCGTAATGGAACCTAAGGTTAAAAGTAAAGGCCTTAGGCTGGCGCCGGTGGCTCACACCTGAAATCCTAGCTGCTAAGGAGGCTGAGATCTGAGGATTGCAGTTCCAAGCCAGCCAGGGCAGGAAAGTCCATGAGACTCTTATCACCAGTGAACCACCAGAACACCGGAAGTGGCACTGTGGCTCAAGTGGTAGAGTGCTAGCCTTGAGCGGAAGAGCTGAGGGACAGCACCTCCAGGCCCAGAGTTCAAGCCCCAGGACCGACAAAAAAAAAAGAGTAAAGCCTTGACTTACCTGAAGCTGTTTCTAGAACTCAGACTACTGAGACAGTTGTCATACAGGGCTCAGGCAACTTGGAGGCCAGAATACATCTATTTTGGTTGGTGGCAGGACCTGTGTTGAGAGTTGAATCGCAACCCCTAGAAAGATCAGCTGAGTGGGGCCTGATGGGAAGCTGAGGAGGGATGGTGGTGAGTTTGAGACCAGCCCATGAGAACTTATCTGAAAAATACAAACAGCAGAAGCGCTGAGCAAAAGGGTGGTTAAGACAGTGAGTTTTGGGGTGCTTTATTCTGCCCATTGTGAGGGGCTTTGTTAGGAATAAATTCCTAGGAAATGGCAGCCACATAAGTTTGGGAACCCAATGCAGGGTCCCCCCAAAGGGCAAAGAATTGGGTATTTCAGAATAGTGCTGGGTGTGGTGGTGCATGCCTGTAATTTCAGCACTCTGGAGTTGGCTGAGACCGGAGGATCTCGAGTTCTAGGCCAGCCTGGAACCCAAGCTCAACACCAAACAACAGCCACAAAGCCAACACAAATACATGAATTTCAAAATAGTGTTGGTGATTGGGCTGTTCTGAAGGACAGTGGGTGACAATCCCAGGGGGCGGGGTGCGGGCCTGGGATACTGAGTTCTGAAAGTGCTCCAGCCCCCTCCCCCAGAGGCAGTGTGCATGGGGTGAGCTATTGCAAGGCATGATGGTCTATCACAGGAGGCCGAGGGCCGGCCACTTCTTTCTCTGGTGAGTGACTGTGACGAACAGAACCGCAGGCCTCCTGCAATGCTGCTTGGACATGAGTGATTGCTGTGTGGCAGAGCTCTGGGCCCTCTGTCTCTCTGATCCTGTCCAACACAAAATCAGAGTGTTTTTAATCATTTGATTATAAGGAGGTTGTTCCAACTGCCCTAGGCCTCCAGGAGCTCCAGTGAATATTAATTATGGAAATGGAATGTCCATTAGCCCAAGAAAGTGTTCACTGCCTACAGCATTCCGAAGGCAAGTCATTGGAAACCCATTTACTAAATGACCTTTTTACCAAATGACCCATTTGCCTAATGGCCACTGCAAACGACTGATCCGCTCAAAGCCAACTTGCTGAAAATTAGTTGGTGGGTTGCCCTGCTTCTCCGTGGCCTCGGGAGATGGGTGCTCAGTGAGAGGCATTGCTGTGGTTAAGATCCTGAATGGCCCCCAAAGGCCCGTGTGTTAAAGGCTGGTTTCCCAACCTATGGCTCTTTAAAGGGTGGAGCCTAGAGGGAGGAAGTAAGGTCATGAGGAGGCGTATCCTGGGAGGGAGTGGTGAGACCCCGCCCCTTCTTGTCTGCTTCCTGGCCACCATGAGGTGGGCAGCTTGCTGCACATTTGGGATCCCACTGACAGAGCCAGAAGCCCCTGCAGTGGTATTTGACTGCCAGCTATTCTGATGGCAGAGGCAAGAGGTTCACAAGTTCGAGGCCAGCCTGGGCTACATAACAATAACAACAACAAACAAATCCCCAAAACAAAAACAACCCAGAATGAAACAGTTCCGGGTGCACTTTTATCGCCGTGTTGGGCACTGGGCTGGTGAACGAGGCGGTGGGACTTAGCTTTGAGTGAGGCTCCTTGCAGATGGCATTGGTTGGCTGAGATGTGGGGCAGAAATGGAGTGCCTGGGAACAGTGAGTTCCAGCTCATTGTATGCCTTGAGGTGTTATTCTTATTTTTTCTAGTCTTTTCCTCCCGGATGCAAGATAGGTGCCTTTATTTTAAATTTTTATTTTTGTTTGTTTTTGTCTGGTATTGGGGCCTGAACTCAGAGCCTCAGACCCTTGCCTAGCTTTTTTGCCCCCTCATCCCCCATTAGTTATTTTCATGCATAGGGTTATGCATGGGTAGGCTGGGAACAGGCTGCCTAGTGTGGGCAGGGTGGATGGCAGACTTGAATCACTGTGTCTAGCCATTGTGCTTCTCCATAGCTCAGACTCAGGCACACACAACCACACACAGCCATTGGTTTAAGATGGGGGGCGGTCTTGCAAACTTTACTACCTGGGCTGGCCTCAAACCATGATCCTTCGATCTCTGCCTTCCAAGTAGCTGAGAGTATGGGCATGAGCCGCTGTGCTCAGCCGGGAAATGATGATTTTTGTTGTTTGGTCTTGTAGGCATTTGAGGTGCTATGAAGTGAGTTTCAGAGATAAGCCCTTAGACACAAGCCTGCACAGGCAAACACCACGTTTGACTTTCTAGCTGGGGGCCACGGCACTCAGAAGTGCAATTTCCAACAAATGCTTAGGAGAAATCATCTGAGCACTTAATTGGATGCAAAGAGTGGGCATTTACTATTCTCCCTTTAATTAGCAGCACTCAGGATGGGAAAATCGTGCCTTTATTGGTTCTATTATTCTCTCTTGGTGCAATGTTCTGTCAGCTTGGCCATTATTCTTGAGTTGCCTCTGTAGAATGGCTTGGGGTGCTTCCTCCAGGAAAATCCTCTCTTTTTTAACTTTTGGTGGTCCCCGGGTTTGAACTCAGGGCTTTGTGTGTGCATTCAGACTCTTAAGCT